CAAAATCCATATTTTTTATTTTTATTTCAGGGAACTGCGAAGTGATCTGGAGCGTTGCGAGCCGCGAGTAATATCGTTACAGGATGCGACTAATCATCTTTTGGACGAGCAAACGGAAACCAGAACGCGTCTGCAAGAATTGCGATTAAGGTTGCAGTCATTAAGAAGGCTCACGGGAATCTACGCCCTTAAGTTGGGGGCTGCCCTCGGGCTGGACCCGCGGGATATCGGTCTCGCCGCTACGTCTACATCTCTCGCATCTCTCTCACATGACGTAAGCTCTAAATTATCTCTACTTGTAATAAATCTACATCTAATCAAAGCAGTGGTCACCATGATATAAATTCATTAATCTATCTATATTATTATCAAGCTTGTATAAGCCTGCAGAAGTAGATTTTGTAATAGATATAGTATAACACCAGATGCAATCGATGTGTAACATTAAGATATATATATTACCGTAATAATTTAAAAAGCAAAAGAATTTGAAATTGAAAATGAGAAAAAGAATTTCTAATTATTCGCCGAATTAAGTTGTCATTAAATAAAATCCGATGTAATTCTTTTTCTTTTAATCTTTTTACGCGCAATAGTAGGCATGTTTATGAAAAATTTATCAATTTTCCGAAGCATTTACAAATTAGTATGGTGACTTGTGTGTGCCGAAATCGAATAATCAAACGCTTGAATCAAAGTAAACCGCTAATATCAAATCGTTTAATGTATCAAAAATCAATTATTTAAAAATTTAGAAATTTTTTACATGTTTATTCAATACGAATTTTCTGATCACTGTAATTCAATCTTAAAAATCGTGACATTTGGTGTACTGAAAGCTTATTCTTTATCTTGATTAAAAATTGAATTTATACGCGATACATACGAATTAAATATACCACGCGATACATGATGAGTTAAATATACTATACGTAACACATTCGAGTGTTTCGTCTGATGAGACTTAAAGTCAATGCGTTATTTTGAAAAATTTTATCTTTAAACGTTCTATCGATATTGATCACAAGCTCTTATGTTTACGATAACGTAAATTACGATGATTTTAAAGTACAAATAAAAACTATAAATTACCGCGCTATCATCCAGCTATCATCATCGGAGTTTTTGATCGGAGCAAACTTCTGGCTCTGATGTTATTCCGCTTCAACTTTGCATGAGAGACGCTATAAGCGAAATGGAAAAATGCTCTAAAAAGACCGGAAAGAAAATTCGAATGATTGTTGTTAATTATGATCGCGCACGTAAAATTAACATGTTACAACGGTAACCTGGGCACTTTGTTCGACGTTAGAGCATTTACTTTTACGTTCAGATAACTTTTGCACAGAGTAAAAACCGCAGAGCAATCTCGATTCGACTCCGATGGATTTTGTCGCGCCGCGAATGACTAATTCAAGTAATTGAGTGAAAACTGAACAGATGGCGGCGCAAGCGCACATATGAAAGTATGTTATATTACCATATGAATAAAAATCCTATAATTATATCTCTTTATAAAAATATCATAGATATAATTATATACATTAGTATTTATGTTTTATATGAGAAATATATATAAAGTAAATCTCTACTATCAAACGCTTGTATCAAAAATCAATTCTTTAAAAATTCAGAAAAAGGCATAATCTTTTTCATGTTTATTTAATATGAATTTTTTTATCACTGTAATTCAGTCTTAAAAACCGCGACACATTTGGTATAGTATTGAAAGCTTCTTTATCTTTAAATAATTTAATTAAAAAACTGTACTAAATGCTGATATGGTGGGGTACTTGTATTTTATAGATTTCACGATTGTCACCTTTATACGTTACCTGATAAAAAGCGATCTTTACCTTTATTTTTATATCTGTGTATAGCGTTTATCGTAGATTTAATTATTGCACAAATTAGTAAAATCACATCAATTTTTTGAAGCGAGAAGCGTCATCCGATGATGAGACAAGTCATCGCGATGGCACTTCCACGCGTAATTAAGTTATCCAGCACCGACCAGGGCGACGAGGTATTCTGGTTCAGCTAGGAGACACAGTTCGACGATCGTGGCTCGACGCTAAAGAGAACGCACCGGGAGTCCGGAGCGGACTGTGTCTCTTTATTAAAGACGGCCGGACAAATTTTCTGTGACTGTCAAGTGTGCCCGGGGGGTAATTGAAGAACGATGATATTACCAATCCATTATTTGATTGTTCCGAGGATAATCATTATTTTATTATCGACAGTGTTTACATGTGATCGTGTTTGTTATCCTTGGTACAGCCAAAGTAGTTGGTAATGTCACCGTTCTTCAATTACCTCCAGGTCGACCAGGTCCACTTGACACTTTGACAGTCACGAAATAAGTTGCCTTTGAGCAGCGGAACAGCCGCTTTAATAAAATCTCGTCTCGTCGGTGTTTGTAGTAACCACTTGCACAGTATCTTATTGTTTGTGTTTTATGTTTTGTTGAACTGTAGCTGCTCGACGAAGCTGCCTCTGGGACTGCTCAGCCTCACGCCACCGGCACAGAGTATGTTGTTTTCTTTTTTCGTGATGATATCTGTCAATTAATCTCTCACGTGATAGACCTTTATTTATCAGGATATCATACGCAAATTTAACAACAATTCTGTCATATATAATGAATTAAATAGATAAATAAAGTTCTGTCGTTTGTAAGAAGAAAAAAATGTTAGCTCTCGTACCTAACCTCAACGAGACAATCCCATTTAACATCCCATTCCTGGAAATCTGTTACAGTGGTGACGAAAGAGACCGAACGGTATTGGCACGTGGTTATCGCTTCTTAGGACGAGTTCTACGAGTTTCTCTCCCAATCCAAGCGCTGATGCTGCTACTGCTTGGCGTTGCATCGCTGGTACCGTCTGCAGAAGAAGACTACAGCTGTATGCTCTCTAACAATCTCGCGAGGAGCTTCACACCGATAGCCTTCTATCCGAACGGACCACCACCGGTGTAACCAGTGAAAAACGGCGCAGCGTGCCGCGTATCACTATGCCAACTTGAGATTGACACTTAGATTCACACGAGTGACGTTGACCAGGCGAGCCAATACAAAGCCGATCGAAATTTCTTTACCTTTATTCCTGCATAATTAGCATTGAAAAATACGAAATTCAAACTGCCCTTATTCAGCTTGCCTCGTCAATGTTTCTATCGACTGCAGCCGCAGTGCGCGTATCGCAGGAAATATTTATATAATATGCATATATTGTAATTTTACACACGACGAATTTGTACGTACGTAAAATGTAACGGACCAAGCGGTGACTGAAAATATGTAGCCGACGAGAAGAAACACATTCTTTTTAATTTATTATATATAATATTGTATATTTCGCTATATATCCAGCGCGTGCAATATCATGCTTCCTCCCGCGCGAAGCGTGCACGATCCCAGTATCAGTAATGAACCCGAACAGAACAACAAGTAATTATGACATCAAAATGATTCCAAATTGATTATTAAAAGTCACTTTTCGATTAGTTATGATTCATTTTGACAATATCATAATCTGTTGTTCTGCTCGGGAATAATATCTTGACAAAAGTATTTGTTGTAAAGACGTTGACTGATTCGGAACGTATGTATCGTCCTTGTATATTAACCCTTCAGTTGCGAAAGGCGTACACGTGCGCCCTGAAAAAGTTGCCTTTCATTTGCGAGGAAAACATATATATATATTGATATATATAACTAAAACAAAATAAAATTATAACAAAAAAACTAATTCAAAATAAATGAACAATAAAAAAAATTAAAAATATTGCGAAATATTAATAATTCATCCGCGTATAATTGCTTATATATGCAAGTATTTTCGGTTAAGCTAGAGCGAATTTCCGAGCCTTGATTCTAAACAAACTTTTTTTCCTTTTCTACATTTTTCTCATCATCTTCATCTCCAATTTTGGTAAGTTATAATTACAATAGAAGTAATTCAAATTTCAAAGCATCATTATTGCATATCAGTCGGACAACTACCAATATCCATAGTCCATAGATAGAAAAAAACTTGGTAAGAAGAAAATACTCATTCTCGTCATTGACACGCGACTTTATCTATTTAAACATGTCTCGAATTATTTACATTAAAATTATACTGAGACAAGTTTCAATCGTACGGAATATTGTCGCAGACAGAAAAGTCATGCAGGTTACTTGATTATTTCGCGAAACATTATTATCTTGCTGAATACAAAAAGGTGTACTACAAAATGAAAATGTTACAGTTTAAATTCGTAATTAATCCGCGCTTGATCCAGCCCTTGAAATACCTACGGACTTATCTACATATATTAAGTTATCGTTCGGGCTCTACTTATATGATAATTTCCTGTTCGAGATTCTTGGAGGATTACGATATACCTATGTATAATCTTGATTTAAAAATCTCGTTATGTGATCGGGAGTATCGGGACAAAGTCAGAAATTCGATTTTAGTTGAAAAATTGCATTATCTTAGGAACCTCATCGTGGAGAATCATATCAACGATTTCATCTTTACCGACTTCAATTTCGCAAAGTTCAACAAAATCTGAAACGGATCGATATGTACTTATATGGACGCGCTTTTTATATCTTTCAAAGTTATAATTAAGGTACTGCCAGCCAATCGATTGTTCGAATATCGTGTAGTTCGTTCGCCAAAATACTAATTTCAACAATCTTTTTAGATAGAACATAGAACTATATATGCCTCGGAATCATCATGCTCGAAGTAAGACCGGTGAAACGTGAATTATGGACGGTCCACTTGACGCTACAAATGCCTGAAATGCCTCGAAAGTCAAAGCGTTTGTAGCGTCAAGGACTGTCAGGTGAACCTATAGCCACGTCGCCTGGAAACGCGAAAACAAATTCGGTCTGGATTTTTTCGGCGCACATTTGTTTCTCGCGCGTCGCCTCGCGCGGTGCATGACGGTCCGATAGAAGACCCTGATAGAAGACCCTGCCGGGCGGCCAATCGCGAGCCGGCATCGCGCGGCGCGGCGACTGGCCGTACTCTCAGTCCGGAGCCCGAGTCGCGGAGTTGTCGTTCCTCTCTTTAGGCCCCCGTGAGCCAGCGAGCCCAAAATTTCTCCGAGTGTTTTCCGAGGCAGCCAGCATCAGGAGTCGGCAGATCGCCAATCCACCCGTCGCAGGATCGACCGTTTGACAACCCGAATCTCGTGTCGCACACGTTTCGCCGTCGTGTCAGGAGATATAAGCGCGCGCGCTTAAAATAAACGGCGTTCGCCGGACTCGCGTACGGCCACACTTGCTCACACCGGATCGGGAGAGGAGGGCGAGCCTGTTATATCGTGTGTGATCATCCGCTGGAGACGGCGTCAACGAGAAAAGGTAGAGAGAAAACGTACGATTCACGTGTGAGATTAACAAGGAGAGAGAGAGAGAGAACAAGATATTGCTGATGTATCAGAGAGATGTATGCCCGTCCTTTTCCCCTCCCCCGCGAATACATAAGAGTCGAACTCGTCGAGACCGGATCGCGGCCGGATTCGTCTGGTGTCCGCGCGCGTTTTCTTCTGTCAAATGGTGAAGGTTTTCCTCGCCGGGACGGTGCTGACGACGTCGACGTCGGCGCCAGGACGAGCAACATCGTCACGACCCACTTTTGCGAGCTGTGCACCTCGCGTGCCGGCCGAATTGCCATTTCTTTATTGTCCTCGTATCGACAAAACACTGTCCTCCCGCGCCTTTCGCGCTTCTCTCCCCTTCTGTTCTCTCTTTCTCTTTCTCGTCCTCTAAATGTCTCGCTCTATCGGTATCCGTATCTTCGTCTCTCTCTCTCTCTCTCCCTCCCTCCCTCCCTCCCTCGTTCTGCTTCATTCTCTATTTGTGCATCGCACCGATATTCGCGTGAGCAAGAATTCTCTCTCTCTCTTTCTCTCTCCGCCTGCGCTATCTATTTTTCCCTTCCTTCTCTATCTTTCTCTCTTTGTCCTACCTGGAGCGAGCGTTACTCCTTGCCTAACACTCGCCGCCGTATTGTCATGCCGGCGTTGGACGTGTACGCTACTGTCAAAGTCGTGCGCTTTCCGCGGCCCAGGTTGAGCCTCCCCCAATATTTTTTTGCTTCGTTCGGGGAGTTGTCGAACAGCCAGCCGTCGATTTACGCGTTTCACCCTTGTGGCATTTAAAGCTGCGAGCACAAAACGCCGATAAATGTCGCTTATAAATAAGTCGTTTATTTTGAAAGTGGCGTGATTCTCTGAAACAGTGGCGAATTATTGCGTTACGAAACTCGTTTAAATTTATACTTTTTTGGGGGGTTTTACGCCGCTTTCAAAGTGTTTCGTCCTAAAGTGACTCGACATGTCGTACATACGTCTGTAGAGATATTTTCTGATTACACTCTTGACTAAGACACACCGAGGTGTCTCTCTCGCATAGTGTTTACGTTAGAGAGATGTTAGAAAGATTTTATAGTATGACAACGCTGTAGTATGTGACAATGCTGTATCTTGTGTTCTAGAACAAACAAAATGTCGGACCGAAAAGCAGTAATCAAGAATGCTGATATGTCAGAGGAGATGCAGCAAGATGCTGTTGATTGTGCCACTCAAGCTCTCGAAAAATATAACATTGAAAAGGTATATGCTCTTTATACTTTTATCCGGTGTATACAGATGTAGTAGATAACGTACCGTGAACATCAGGCAAATGTATTATGCAAAGAACGGAAAATTTATAACGCAATTAGAGTAGATATATTTACTAATAGATTTAATTTTATTTTTATAATTTTTTTATTTATTAAGAAACTTAATATATTTTATAAGCATGAATTTAATTTGTCATAAAATTGGAGTAATTCACTGATATCTTTGCGTTAAGCATTAATAACTTTTACTAAAAAATAGTAAAAATAAAGTTTTACATTTGAATGAAAAAATTACATTTGTATATATAGATTTTGCAATTCAAAGAGAAGCTAGAGAATTTAAGATATTATTTACAAATTTATATTTGGAGTAATATGATATGAAATTATTTATTTATTTCTTATTAATGTAACGGACCTTAGGGTCTTCAATTTTTATTAAAAATTGTAATGTTCACCGAAATTATATTGAAGAGATCGAGTTTGTTTTCTGAAAATTTTCTATTATATGAATTGTCAATATACACAGGATGAGATTGTTAAATCAATAACGCTATTGATTTTACCATTAATATCCATTGGTTTTGACTTTCAGGATATTGCAGCATTTATCAAGAAAGAGTTCGATAAAAAGTACAATCCAACGTGGCATTGCATTGTAGGACGTAATTTTGGTAGCTACGTGACGCACGAAACAAGACATTTTATCTATTTCTACCTGGGTCAGGTAGCCATCCTCCTCTTTAAGAGCGGGTAAACTTGTTTTGCTATTTCTCCTAAACGTCCTTTTTCCTTCTTCTCTTTCTCCCTTGCTCACTATGCAAAATACATACATTTAAAATCACCGTCATGTGTAAAAGAAACTTCATTACTCATTATGTACACATTGAGAAATTTGTTTAAAAAAAAAACACCTGCTCCGGATAAGCAAATGAAGAGAAATATCAATGTTTGATATATTGTTTGTCGTTACGTATGTGGAAGGATAATCCGAAAAATAATTCTAAGAAGACACAGTCGAAGGGTAGGGAGATAAACTTGGGGAAAAAAAAGAAGAAAAGAATGACATACAACCTTACATGTTAAAATGTATTTTGTATGCCAAGAAGTTTGTTGTGTTCTTGTTTTATATTATTAGGTAAATATGCAGAATACGGTTAAGTTCAATACTGGCGATTTTAACTTAGTAAAATTTTAGCATAATTGTTTAACGTATAGTGTTCGATTGACACTAAATGCATTGCATATTTCGCGTTGAATGGGTTTGCATCAGAGTTGTACCCTCCTGAGACTATATAACTGGAAGTACATGGTATCCGTTAAGTAATCGCCAATAATGAATGTAAGCCCGAGATTGATTGCCCCTGCAATTGTTATTTTATATTAATTGGTAACCGTTGTCGTCTCCTACGTACTGCATACTGATTAACTTGATTTTGTATTTGCTATACAACTGCGACTGACATTTTTTTTTTGTTAGAATTAAGAATTCTCAAAATGATTGAACGGAAAAGGAAAAAAAAGGAGCTCAATCTCTCTATCGACGTGCGATAATCATCGTACACGTACTCTATTAATAACTTTATTTCGATCAGATATAAAACTAACATGCTATTGAATAACAATTATCTGACTCGTTCATTGCTACCTTCACAATTTTTATATTGTGCACAGATTATAACGTAAAAAAGGGAGGGGGAGACATTTTATCTCGAGGCGATGTATACTTAGGAGAATTCATTTCCTAAGAAAGAAAATATCATCTTCTACCCATATTAAATTCTTTTATGTAATATTCAACACTCCATATTATGGTACTTATACATATATTATATATATATAAATATATATATATATATAAAATATAGATTATACATATGATATATTATTTATACATAGAGTGCAATCTTCAAACAATTTTTCATGCAGTATTTGATTATCGTAAACGTTGCTACATTGTTCAAATTTTAAACTAACTATTAAATAATATCAAACCACTATCGTGCATCCCTTTTTTTTTTTAAGAAAAATTCGCAATGTCACTTTTATAAGCAGCGAATATGTAGTAGAAAGTATGTGTTCGAAAGAATGTGTTCGAAAGTAAAATCACGATGAAAGATATCGAGTCATACTCCGAAGATCGATTTGTCCTTGAGAACATCTGAAAATATTCGACCTGACATGTTATTACATTTCTTTTCTTTTATTTATTTATTGTACATATATTCCAGCAGGTTTATTATTAACTCATAAATCTATTGCATATATTAGTAACACAGGACGAGCTGTATCTTTACGGTGTTATATGATGTACGTTATGCTTTCGCCGTACTTGCTACATGAGATTGGTTCAAGAAATATATCGCTAATAGGTTCGAATTTAATCGTCGGTAGTAAAAGCCAATTGTACTTTGTATACACGTTAAGTGAAGAACCTGTTACGCTGTTAGGCGGCGGTTGTCACATTCATTTGATTTGTCAAAACATCAAGATGCCGTTTCTGGAACGCACTGCCACTTTTTCGAAACGCAAACGCAATAGAATGCGAAATACCGAAGTATTTTTCATACACCCCGTGTTTCACGGGTTGACAAGTGAAAAGTATATGTGGGCATGACGAAATCATTTTGGTTCTTTTGGAGCTTTCGAGGGTAAGAATTCTGTGCACCTCCGCCGATTTCACGATCGAGTCTACATGCAGAAGATGCGGTAAAAGCAGATGAATATTATTGTGCTTAACAATAAAAATCAGTTCCACCCATGAAGCGTGCTTTTCTTTCCAGCGAGGCGCAATGTATAAAATAGGGAGCGAAGGTATTCTACATAAAAGCGGTATTGAACGTCACAAGGTCGAATTTTCCCTAAAATTACAATACTGAAATATCAGAGAGAGAAAAAATCACAACACGCGCGCGTTTATAACACACGTACACACACGCTTACAGCCTACGCACGCGATATTGCCAGGAACATCAATAATGTGTTCTCGATAAAATTCAACCTTGTGACTTACAATGCGGAGTGGCCGACTAGATGACTACCTGTCCTTTGCATAATTTGCGTAACTTCGTTAGACTCGTGTATCTCATTTCCGCCCCTAATGACTATAAATACTGTGCTTCTTCAACGCCATGCACACATCCGTATCTATATATATGGATATATACATATATAAAATACGTATATACGTATACGTGTGTAAAAGCCATACTTGTGCTTTCTTTCAGAATCCCTTAAAAAGAAGAATAATTTTTTCATCTGTTTCTTCATTGTATTTGTGACATTAAGATTAATAACTTTGTTGATGTTACATTTATTAATATTCAGTTATTTATTGCTGCATTATACATTCGATCTTTAACATTACAGAATACATCTGAAGAAAGACCTGCAACGACACATAGCACTCTTATTTGATATTACTAATTTTAATATATATATATTTACATATTTTTCAGTCTTTTAAAATTATTTACAAATTAAAATTTTGCTATATTACATGTGATTTTGTTCAAAAAAGATATAAAATATCTTATTATATTATTACTTTATATTAGATAATTAGAAATTGGAAAAGAGGAGAGATATTGACAATATCTCGACAAATATTGCGACTTATTTACTATCGCTATGTCAATAGTTGAATCTAAATTTCAAATTAATAATCTTAATTATGTTACTAATTTAAACAATTTGTTTTCAGAATGCAAGTAGAAAAAATTATTAATATCTCTTAATTCTTAAACGTGTGACGAATTTCTTATCTTATAACGTATAAACAATATTTCGAGGTTAGTAAGAAATTCGTGACAATATAAAATTCCTTCTATAATAGATAGATAATTCAACTCGATACTTATATTATTACGCAAGTATTAATCCGAAGATAAATAGAATTCCTCTGATAAATAGACTCGATTTTTCGTACAATTTTTATCTCTGCAGTATTTTAGAAGTTCGTTAAATTTTAATAGTTTATTGTTGGAAATGTGTCATCAAACTTATTATTTTATCATACAATAGTTCTTTAACATCCTTAGCCCACATGAAATCCAAATGATTCCACTGTTCATGTGGAACGCGGAATTTTCCAAATGGATTGCCAAGATTCTTATATAGTTCCTCGACATCCTGCGAATGATAAAAGCACAATGTAATAAACGCAATGCAAAATATAATTGAAACAATATGATAATTCATTTAATTTTAACACCTCGAATATTTCTCAGGATATTTGTTCTATCCAAAAATATATGAAAGCTTATTTTACGCATGCAAAAAAAATATCCTGGCAAATTTGTGGGAGATATTTAAAATTAAAGAAACATATAAAAAGATACATACATTGACATTCACTAACCAATCGTTGGTGCCATAATGCAAGGAAACTGGCACTTTAATCCTTCCCAAATCGTATTTCGGAGGCTGGATGGTACCATATTTGATCAAATTGCCGAAAAATGAATAATCATACTGTCTAAACTTTCCCGGTGTGATTAAATGCCCAGTCTTGATAAGTTGTGCGAAATGCATTAATTGTTTCGTAGATGCGCCAGCCGGAGTATGTTCCAGAATTAATGGTAGAAGAGTCTGCAAACGTGACAGTAGCATTATAAATAAATGTATCGAATTAATAATGAATTGATGTTATACAAATTCAAACAATAAATGATTATGTCAAATTCGTGATTACGTCTCAAAAACTAATACTATGATATTATTTAGTAACACTATAATAATGTGAAGTGTGCTGTAACAAACCAGCTTACAATTTGAAATATTTATCTTATTTTGAATCTTAAAGATAATTAATATTAAAGAGAGTATCATACAGTATTAAATTGGTCTTTGTTGAATCCGGCGATTAAGAAGAGCACGTTCGCGCACAAGGGTTGTGTGATAGCGTCTTCTGCGCATGCGAGTTTTTGGAACGTTTTCATGATTTCACCAGAAGGCGCAAATTCGTGTACGCCGATTAATTCCAATAGTGACTGTAAAAAATTTAGTTCATTCAAAAAAAAGAAAATAATGAAAAATTACGATTATTTTCTTATAGAAATTGGAAATTACATACGTTTAAAGTACCACTGAAGAAAGCGAGAAAATGCAAAATAGGATTATTCATTCTTCCGCAATAAGCTACCGGTGCCAGCGCGAACATCGCCTGGATCTTGTCTTGATATTGAGGCTCTTCCGCTGCCATGACGAAAAAGGCGGCAGTACCCTGGCTGTGCCCCAGATAGAAGATTTTTTCGCGGCCAGTGGTTTTCACAACATGATCTATCATTGCTGGAAGATCACGCGTGCCGATCTCGTGAAAGCTGCAAGAAAGGTATGATTTTTATGAATTATTTGTCAATCCTTGGTCTGGAATAGATAATTCTTTATTTCACATTTTGTTACAAAGATATGAAAAAGAATTATCTGTATAAAGATATGTATATGTATGAGTGTCTAGTTACTCTAGACGTAAATAGAATGCAAAAGTTAGTGAGTTTTCTTAGACAGTTGATACTAAAACTCAAAATATGAATTTGTTTTTGGATCGTTTAATTTAAACAAAACGTCTAGTTTTGGTAAAGCAAACAAAATCTCGGAATGAATCGGATAGAATGGCTTATCTGATAAATTTCTATATTTTCATTGCGAATTATCAGATATTTAAATGAAATAAAAATTCTCATTTAAAATTCTCCAAATGCTAAATGCATATAATTCACGTGATTTTATTTTTAATATTTAAAATATTTGTTAGGTTGCAAATATATGATATAGTATTTGACTAACAAATATTTAATAGGCACTTGTCCCAAAAAAATAACATCCAATGCCGCGTGTCATTATCAGGGAGTGATATAATATCTCACTTGACCGATAAAAAAAGAATTTCTTTGTCGCGATTTTTACTACACCTGTAAAAATATTCCGTTACAGCTACATTTCAGATTTTTATCAATTTGTATTTGCATATCGCAATTGCATTTTTGCATTTTTATGGTATTTCTACATTATGAAATTTAGTATTTATTCTAACATTATTTGATTATTATGTCGAAAGGGCACTTCATAATCAGATAATTGAAGAAATAGATTAATTATATCTTGACACCTGCTAAGTGCAGATGCCATAATCGTTTTGCGCCTTTTCTCATTTCTTATCGCACATTACGTGTGCGAATATTTATTCATTGAAATTTATATATCATTATATAGGGAAATTGTTTATTAGAGATGTTCATTTTCTTGAAACTGTAAACACATAATTACGATTTCTTAAAATAACGTTGCGATGCAATGATACAATTTGAAAACGATTTGATTGAATACAATTGTTGAAATTTTATCATTACCGTCGTGGCATTCGATAAATCACGATTTGATAGATTTAGAAATTATAAATATCAATTGCATATTTAAATATATGCATCAATTTTTTTATTCGACGATAATAAAACGTACTTATATGTAAAGATAAGATTGAAGATATTTGACATTCTTGTGTTTCTATTGTCGTGCTGACTTATTTTCAAGCATGCTAACCATGTCGTAATAGTTTTTCACTATTTGCACACATTCCTCACCTGAAATCCCAGTAAACGTCCTCTCGAATAGCCGGGAGCTTGTGTTTACGTGAATATACATTGCCACGTGTGTTACCGAGCCACACGTCGTATCCTGCGTCTGCCAGAATGAAAGGTAAACCTTTCTCCGGTCCAGGAACAACCCAACACGCTGAACTGCACAAAAGACCATGCATCACAAATGCCACGGGTTTTTCCACTTTCGAGTCAGTAGAATTAATTCGTCCTGTTATCCGATGCATCTCTATGATGTAACCGTCAGACGTAACCACCTCGTGCAGCTCCCCATTGTAGCCAAATTTGCTCACTAATTCTAACTGTGAAATGAAATGATGACTTTTTGATATCGATAGATTGATAAAGACCGAAACATAAAGAACTAAAAAACCCGACGTAAACATAAAAAAATCTACGTTAAAAATCTGATTTATTACAATTATAATATTTAAAAGTATTTGTTAAAGAATTGTCCAATACAGTTAATAAAGTTTAAATAATTAAATGAAAGAATCTCAGAAATAAATTAACAAAAAGTCAATATACAATTTTTCTCATTGAATCGATAGAGATGTTACGATGTTATTTGTATAATTACATTAATGCAGGAAATACAGAGTTATTCAAAAAATCTCGTTTCAATCGACGGAAATCATATCTGCATGATTCTTTTTTAAAGTTATTTTCAATTTCGACAAATGCACTTACAGTGGTAAGTGACGCATCTCGCTCGGTGGCTTTCCAAAATTCCGGATCATCGAGTTCTTTAATTGCCGGTATCTTCTGGTCTATCGGCAGGTCCGGCAGTAGAAAGTACGGTATCGCGCTGACGGATGCTAGTATCGAGAGGAGAAAGAGCGGTAGTAACATTGTTGTCGCTCGATGTTGTCCGAGAATTGATCAATTCGAACTGTGTATTGTACGTGATTTTCTTCCTGAATGTGCAGTGTATATATAGAGCGCCGCTTATTTACTGAAAATATATCACCGGAGTGCTATTTTATGCCATCTTATCAAATACTATTTATCGTTCATCCGTCATAATTTCTGATTCGATACGATTGGTGTAGTCAGTTGTAATTGAGTTGTCGAGAAAGAAAGGGTCTTATCGATTATTGTCAAGTAGATTGATTGTTTATCCATAAAATGATACAGCATACAACTTTGCGCGCAGGTGCAGCTACTCGCAACATTGCGTATCACTGTTTACACGATACACAGTGATCCTTATCGGATTACTTTGAAAGAAACAAAAGAACTGATCGCTACTGATGATAAAATTCAGACAAATAGGGAAATCTTTTATAATCCTTGATTTAAAAATTGATTTTACAGATTTCCGATCTCGTAGATAATTCCATTTTATACCACTAATTGATTCTTTTATTGATTCGTATAACTTTATTTGTTTTACTTTTATCATTGATTCTTTGACGATACGCATCTATTAATTTTAATTTATCGATTGATCTTTGATATTACAGATAATTGATTTTATATGATAATTTTCATAAATTAAAAATTTATTCCTTATTTATTATTAAAATATATCACATATGTATATAATATGAGCGAGATGATACGGAAAGAAAAAGTGACAACGAGTAATAAATAAGAACACTGGGCGAGGGAAAAAATGATACGAAAGAATAGGAATTTATAGGAAAGTGAGTGCACAAAATGCAAGATATATGCATCACATTTCAAACAAAATATTTTATGAGAATATGAACACATTAACAAGAGTTTGATAACTCAAACCGATATATATCGAAATATATTGAGCGTAAGCGTTGATCTTCCGACAAAATAATTGTGCCGACGAGAAAAGCAAATTCTTGGTCAAATTTCTGGTCAAATTAATCACCGCATGAATTATCATCAGTGGAGTAGATGCTGGCACTTCATTGCGAGGCCTTTTTGTTCATTATTTTGATTATCGGATCGTATACAAGCTTCCTCACATCCTTAGCCCACATGTAGTCCACATGATTAAATTTCTTATCCGCTACTAAAGTTTTACCAGAAGGATTGCCCAGCTCGCCGTACAACTTTTCCACATCCTACACAAAAATTACAAATAATATAAATACAAATATTCGGGCAAACGTAAATGTACAATTTTATTTGACGCTTGACGTTAGATTTGAAGTAATTACATGATTAAATTTCAATGTCAGTATCAATAGAAGAAACTCGATTTTTTCAACTTGTAATTATAATTAAGTGTCAAAAGGGATCGTATGATCACTTTAATGCTTATATCTAACGTTAGACCGTCAAATATATTCTAATTGCTTTGATAAACATCGAAGATATTCGAGATGTGAATTGTAAAAGAAATACGAACCTTGACATTCGCTAACCAATCATTTTCACTATAATATAAATGGATCGGAACTTTGATCTTCTTTAAATCATAAGTTGGTGGAGTGTATGAGCCGTATGCAGCTTTATTGCTGACTAATCCATTATCATATTGTTTAAATTTCCCCGGTAAGACTACTGTTCCTGTTGATAGATTTAATACTGTTATTATGAGAAATTTTTAAGAAATTTGAATATGCATATTTAATGCATATCTATAGATATTCTCAGGTAGAACATAGAAGCAAATGATGTCATAATGATGTCATTCTTACATTATTTGCGACTTATAAGTGACAAATGAAGTCATAATGATGTCTTTATGTTATCATATAACTTCATTATGACTTTTGTGTTCTACCTGGATTATACAGGGGATCTTTATACTCATAAAGTGTATATTATTGCACGAGATTACTTCCATTACTGTGTACTGTGTACGCTAAAAAGTACATAAAAATAAGATAACACAATACAAACGACAAAATATTATCACATTTTAGCAAAAAAGGATACTGAATATTTAACCGATCAAAGTGCTTATATTATGCTTTTGTACTTATGTATCTTTATATACAGCAATTTTTATAGCACTGTAATAGAGTACATATATCAAATTTATTATTAATATGAGTGAACGTTTACCAGACTTGATAAGTTGTCCGTAGTGCATCATTTGCTTCGTGGATGTACTAGCAGGAACATGTCCTAAGATTACTGGAAGAAGAGCCTATAGAAAGATAGTAATTATAATATTAATATACATATATATATATATATATATGTGTGTGTGTGTGTGTGTGTGTGTA